GGCCGCATATTACTCGCGTCGCTCAGAGAAAAAAATAACGCCGACGCCCAACAAGACTGCGAAGGAGGCTAAGCCCCTGCCATGGTCAGACATGTCGTGTCCGTGCTACTGTGCGGTCCAGCCTCCGTCCATGGTCATACAGGACCCGGTCATCTGGTCAGCGGCCGGAGAGCAGAGGTACACAACTGACGCTGACACCTGGAATAGTGTAGCGGGTCAGATTGGGAGTATTGTCTTGGGAGGACTGTCTGTGTGTGTTTGTGTGTGTTTGTGTGTATGTTTCTGTGTGTTTCTGTGTGTGTTTGTGTGTGTGTGTGTGTGTGTGTGTGTGTGTGTGTGTGTGTGTGTGTGTGTGTGTGTGTGTGTGTGTGTGTGTGTGTGTGTGTGTGTGTGTGTGTGTGTGCGCGCGCGCGTACGCGTGCGTGTGTGTATACATTTGTATGTGCGTGTGTGTAATGTGTCGACACATAGAAGTATTGTTTCTGGCTCCTTCAGTCAATATTGACCATCATGGTAAAATGCTTATTATTATCAACCCAATATTTTATGGCTGAGCAGTCCTAATAACAGTTTATAGGTCCGTGCTTTAATATTAGAATTCTAGCAAACTAGTACCTGCTCAATAGTGGCGAACTGCATTGACGGTTGTTTCTGAGAGATCAGTAACCACTGAAAGTAAAAACAAATATACGGTATTGTTACAAAAATGAACGTCGACAGAAATTTCTCATTTCAACACAAGTTTCACAGACATCACAGAACTTAGTTTTTTTCAAGGTTAACATATAGAACCTACCTTTGCTTCGTCCCAAGAAATGCCATTTTCTGCCGATGCTTGAGCTATTTGCTGCTCCATCACTAAAACAAACATATGTTCGATCATTTTCTATTCAATAGTGTTAAATCTTCCTGTTTTCTACATTACAGTTTTATTTCAAAATTCTTAACTTATTTTTATATCAATCAATAGCTCGTACTGATACACCTGCTTTTCTAAAACTCTACAGTGTTACCGACGAAAGGTAGTGGATTCTATCTGAAACGTCTGACCGTTTCCAAAATCATTTCCAGTTGCTTATGGTTAACTTTTTTTCGTCGTAAGTTATTGGCTTGATGTCTAACCTTCACCGACGTATCTTTAAAATTGTGTTTCAATTTCCTTAATCAAACCAGTGTGTGATCACAAACGTTTGTCAGCTACTCAGAAACGCCACCTTTCGCTTTGTTACTAAACTGCAAGAATGTCTATCGAGACGATACTCACTCGTAGACAGCACCCATCCGGGACATATGGAGTTACAAGTGACCCCAGTCCCCGCCGTCTCCAAGGCAACAACCTGGAAACACATTTAGTGACGTTAATGACATTTTCTTTCAATCAACTGTCAAAATATAAAATCACGTCCTACCAACCATATCGTAGAAGTTATTTGATTAATGGGTAAACGGGGACACTAGGGCTTGAAATACTTTTTGCATACCTGCATTGGTGCAGGTAACATTGAAATTTACCTATACCAGACAAATTTTACCTGCACCATCTCAGGATTTAGAAAGTATGGATAATACTAAAACTTCTCAGGAATCATTGCCATTATCCCTTCTATACTTAATAGGTAGTAATATGTCAATGCAGCAAAGGAATCCATGTTCACCTACATGTATCTTAAAGTTAGTACATGGGCTAATAATTTTTATTTGTGCATGTATATGTGTATACTAAGGTGCATATGCACCCAGTATTTCGAGCTCTGGACACAAACTAACTACCCATACCGATTGTACGGAATAACAACCACAACAATATATCAAGAAGTCAATGATTGTGGAAAAAAGTTTTGACATAGTTTTCCTTACCTTGGTAAGACCGTTCAGTCCGTGCTTGGCGGCGACATACGCACACTTGTTCACAGACGCCACCAACCCATGCACCGTGGACACGTTCACGATGCGCCCCCAGCCTGAAGATAGAGGAATTACAGATAGATAATTTGTTATCGTGTTTAAAACCTTGTCAAATAGCGAAATTTATTTCGCTTCTTGGATTATGTTATTTGATGAGACAAGGAAATATAACTTCAAATCAAATGCATTTTGATCAAAGCATTCTTTAAATGGCAAGAAAAGGAAAACTTAGATTTGGGTTGACATGAGCATAAAGTTTACCCCTTTTCCTCTTTCTAATCTTTTGACCTTCAGTCAGTCTGCATGTCAATCGCCCCCACCCACGTGTTATCACTATACGCTCAAGATTACATCTCCTTGTGTCTGACCTTTATATCTACTGTTAATATTAAGAACATGTTGTAAACGTCCAAACAGATCACAAACCCACAGCTCTTTCATTATTCAGTGACTTACCAACGTGATAAAACCATACACAGAAAGAGAAATGTTGTTACCTTTAGTTTTCATGGCAGGCAGCAGATGTTTGGTGATTTGAAACGGCGCAGTCAGCATCACGGACAGCATGGTATCCCAGCGTTCCAAGGGAAACTTTTCAATCGGACACACGTGCTGAATACCTGATCATATGGGGAAAACACACAAAAAAGAGGATTGAGCGTTAAGGATATATTAGGGCTTATAGGATTAAGCATTTTGCAAACAGTCTTTTTTTTTTGCTATTAGTCCACAGTAAGTAATTTTTATGGATGACATTAGTGCGTGCGTTGATTTTAGGTAGATTACAAAATGCCTTTCTACGGTGATCAAAATGTCGAAAATGCACAAATATGTCGGCTATTGGTTCAGATTTAGCAAGCTTGAGGCACAATTGCTTGCGTTTGGTGGTGTTTTGACACATACGTCTCCATATGAATACCCTGTGTAGTAACTGTCTATGATGGTACGGTCAAGTCGTCTTCCTACAATTGTTTAAGTTAATTGAGGTATATTGTTTTAGTTAATTGAGGTATATACAAGTGCAGGTTACACTGTTGAAGACAAGAATAAAAGAACGGTTCATCGTGATATCACGTTTGGTCGCCTGAAATCTTATTTAACAAGGTTTGTGATCTAAAAACAATTAGATCTGTCGCATTAGACTTGCAAAGGATGTTATCCATAAAATTTACTTGCTGTGGCCTTTAATTTACTATTGTCCACGGTCGGAGTTTCTTTTGACAGAGACTTTATGATCGTTTGGGATCTCTAATAGTAGAATGGCCGTTTTTTTACCAGATGTATACATTCCATACCTGCAGCGTTGATGAGAATGTTGACGCCTTCTGGGTAGTACGCCATGGTCTCGTGACATAACTTCTCAATATCACCAGGACGGGTCAGTTCGGCAGGGATGTAGTTAGCCTGGACATTATGCTTCCTGAAAACGGTTTCATAGTAAGTTTACATGCCACCATATATATTATGTGTTGAAACTAAAAAATGGTAATTGTCCTAAAATCGCAATTGTTAGCATTTCTGTACATTGCAGTCAAGAGCCATTCCCTCTATTTACAGGTTCCACCACCCTCTACGGGGGTCAACATCGTTTACCGGATACCTTTGGCGTTTGAGTCTTAACGTCGCACTTATTTAAAACGACCCACATGACAAGTCTCAGTGGGTCATTCTTTTAAAGAAGACCAGAGTGACTGGTCGAATGCTCTTTGAGTCGGAACCAACCTCTTTAACTCTAGACAATAATTCAATCATGTTTGTTACTTCTCATACCTGGTAAACTCCTGATGTAGTTCCCTGATGCCGGCCTCGTCCTTGTGCCCGGTGAAGACGATGTTACAGCCGCTCCCTGCCAGCGCGCGCGCGATGCCGAGTCCGATCCCGCTGGTAGACCCCGTCACCAGGGCAGACTTACCGGACAGAGGCTTCTCAACCTGCGACATGTGTCTGCAATAGAACAAGGGTTTTTGTTTGTTTGTTTTTTGTAGTTGTTGTTGTGATTTGAAATTCAATACGTATCACAGAACCACAAGAGCTTAGATCATTGTCCGGGGCACTTATCCCGAGAGTTAAAATTAATATTTAGGCTCTTACATTAAGGATTTCAGAAAGGATTTTAAAAACCAGAAAATCAAATCTCCAAAAAATTTAAAGTCCAAATCTAATCCTTTTGAGGTCTTATTAATGTGCGGGGTAAGAGGGGTTAAAGGATGTTTGTTTGTTTGTTTGTTTGTTTGTTTGTTTGTTTATTGGTTCGCATATATTTAAAAAAAACAACAATAAAATGAACATATTACTGACAATAAAATAAAATGCTGGGGAAAGGTATGAAGCCATAGTGGCTTGTCTGGGATCTTCCCCGACAAAATTAATTAACAACTGAAATAATACTAACAAATCAAATGGTAAAAATAAATAACAATAAGTAATTAATAAATTTGATCAATAGGATCAATATGATAATGGTAACAAAACAAATAGTAACAATGAGTAACAAAAGTGATTGATAAATAACGCTAATCACAAATAATATTTTAAAACATAGGTTAACAGCAATAACTCAAGAAAAAATAAATGAATTTTAAAAAGAAACGGAAATTCAAACTTATACAGATGAAATCACAGTAATAAGACATCAAATGTCGGTGGGAAATAAAAGTATGTGATTTTTAAGATTTCGTTTAAAGCTAATTATTGATGTTAAACATTTTAGGTGGAGCGGGAGATTATTCCAAGTAGTTGTACATTTATATTTTACACTCATTTGGGCTACGGACGTTCTAACTAGGGGGATATGGAAATGGGCACTTTGTCGAGTTTGGTAAGTATGAAAATGGGAATTAAGATGAGATTATAACACCCAATCTGTATATTGTGACCTTATTTTGAATACAACTGGGTGTTAGAGGTCGGTGTCCTTGTGACGTAAACAAACCGCCATGACACCTGTTACTATCTGACCTTTGACCCTACGACCGGTAACATCCGGTTGTTGTTTGAACAGCCGCATGCGTGGGTAAACTATGCGGAACAGCCTGTCAATAACACAACAGGCGGACAGATATACACTATGTTTTTTTTATATTGTAAAACACTGCTTGCCAATATTTGTGTATCTAATACATTTTAATCAAACTAATATAAAATCATTTTTTCATACTCAAAGCATTCATGTATATTCATCGTAAAATAATGCAAAGAAAAAACAGTGTATACGAAATTAAAATAAGCTGTTATATCTGTATAAATTCCACGTTACATATCTGCTCTTGATACAAAATTCATTGCTACCAATGGTTACTTTTTGGTTATTTTGTTTATACCCACAAAATACTAGCTAGATATTACGTAATAGTTTTGTACGTTGTCTTTTCCCCACCATAGCTAATTTAGCGTCAGAAATGTTCAACAAAGAAAGACGCATGTAACTTATACCGGGTTCAAAACATACCCTGCACGGTGGTGAGCAAAACCATAGCTGTCACATACGTGAGAGGTCAGGTGTTTAGGGTTAGGGTTAAGGTTGGTATTAGTGTTAGGTTTAGGGTTGGGATGATTGTTCAGGGCTAGGGTTAGACTTACGATTGGGGTTAGGTTAGGTTTAGTCTCCTAAATTACGACTAAAAATAAACCCCTCCCAGCCCTTGTCTCAGGTATATTGGAAACCTCCAAAGTTTTGTCGGAGAAATACATTTGGCAGGGCCATGTATTTGGCTTCACAATGGATTTTATCGGTCATTTTATCACAATGACAACACGTGGAACTTTCTCCCTCACACATATCTACAGAGGTATCCAGAGACCAGTATACAGAAAAACATGTCTGTAACAGGTGTGCCAACAATTCGGGGAACGATCAATAATACCCACATGTTGGAGCTGTGTTTTAGGAGCTCAGCGTACTAAAAGATTTAAGTTTCTGTATGGCTGTTCTTGTTTAAAACGGTCGAGTCCATATCGCTAATTATAAACGGTGTATACGTGGCGTATCTGTATGACTTATATTCCGTGTAACTGCGGAATTCAGCCTTCTTCAAATTGTATGATTGGGCTGCAATGCTGTTACAGTTTTGTGCCAACTTGCGACTGAAACATTTATTGTGTATCCCAGTGTATTTTTTATTCATTTTAGGCGTATAAAACGTACAAAAGCTACATTACAAAGCCATGTACAGTAGTATCATGAACAAGAAATGGTAAATAAATTATTAAGATAAAGTCGTGTATAAGATAAAGAGATAAGATAAAAAAAAGGTTTAAAACGGGTCAAAAACAACCAACACCATAAAATATAATACCGTTGACGGGTATTATGCTTATACACTCAAAGTCTGCAGTTTTGTAATCGACCGTTCTAAACGCCAACGACATGTATACGAGACAGATATTAGCTTTGGCCATGTGTACTTTCCACGTAGCGTAGTGCCTTTGAATTCGAAGTTATTGCATCAGTCACAAATACCTTACAGTCAGCAAGCGCCTTTCAAAACATTGCACCAGTCGTTGAAGTTTGTAGTAGAACCAGTGCCAGTTGACAAGGTTATACAAATATAGAGTTGAGAGTATGTTTGTGCACCTAGCATGAATGTAACGTAGTGTAAATACTGATGTTTTTTACTCTGTGAAATTAGAAACATGACCTGGCTTCAGTAGAACTTCATATTTGACAGAACACATTTTTCAGTAGTATTTAAAGAAAGCTCATAAAACGGCTTAATTTGTTAGGGTCAAGCTTATTTTAAGCGATGCATAACTTAGGAATAGTCATGAGAATGTATGCATGAAAAATATTGCTCTGAATGTGACTCCTTATACTTAAATAAGATAAGTTTCACTTACCTTAAAATGATAAGACTTGATCCTCTAGGTTCGACTTGCAGTTTAACCAGGCATCGTAGTGACCGTCTTACTAAAGCCGCCATCTTGGAAAAAAATGACAAAATACCCAAATGTTTCCACTCTTTTATACAAGAAGCGATTGTTCCAAAATCAATAATACCGACGCTTTCAACCGGAAGTAAAAACTGGATTGGCCACGCTCAGCTTATTTTACATCCGGGTCAGGATTATTATCAGTAAAAATTCTACTTCAAATGGAGTTGTTGGCGAGAAATACGCACCAAAACAACTTAGGCCTGACTTAGGATTTTAGTGACACCAGGCAACCTGAACTCGTGGTGTTATTGCATCATTCTTACAGGCTAACCAGGAAAACAATGACGTAGCCAAGACTGAGCTGTTGATAGATCCGGTTTAAACAGTGTTAGACCTGTGTTTGTCGAGCTGGGGTTTGTGGGGGGTCGTTCATTTTGTATGTAGAGGGTGGTAATTATAAGCGTGTCGGTAGAAGCAAGGACATTATCTCTGTATAATGACCTTGGTAGAAGGTATTACACTGCGTCTCCACGAAACCCGGATTTTTTTAAAGGTTTTTGTTGGATTTTTGGTCAAATCGTTGCATCAGAATTTTGCCTGTTACAGACGATATCTTTTCCAAAACATCATTTGGAAACTACAGACGGGATGTTTACCTTTAAGCTGTCACACGGTATGCGAGATATGAGACGTTCTGCACAATACATTACCGATTTCGCACAGGTGCAGTACGTTCTGCCGACGTGCTAGGGTGGTCTATATAAGAAAATGTCCTGTTATGTGCGTTAGTGAACGTCCTTTTCTTTATTTACAAAATGCATGAAAATGTCAGGGTTCTAGCTCATGCTAGATTTTAGAAGCACGTTGGCAGAACGTACTGCACCTGCGTGAAACCAGTAATGTACTGTACATAGCATTTCGGCAGAATGTCTCATATAAGGTTGTATTCGCACATACAAGGTTAACACTCCGTCTGTAGTTTCCAAATGTTATGTCGGAAAAGATATCTTCTGCAACAGGCAAAATTTTGATGCAACGTTGACCAAAAATCCACCGAAAACCGTGAAAATACAGGGTTCTGCGCAGGCGCAGTACGTCCTGCCGACGTGCTGATTTTAGAATGGGTATGTAAATAGAAAACAAAATCATTCTGGAACGGTAGAAAATGTGTAGGCAAAAGCGCAAGTAAGCCAATGGGTGAAAGAGCGCCTGTATGAATGATTGAAGGAATGGATGAGTAACTTTGAATTACCTTATGTTGTGTTTGCATCAGAGAAGTCCCGATGTTTTATATTTTGGCTCGATCACATCTGTCGCACAGTGGTCGTGCGAATCGCAAACCAATGGCACTCTTGGGATAGTTGTATCTCTGTCGGCAGTTTGTTCGGTCACATCCTGCTTGAAAATTTACACCCTAAAAATCGCACGACGATCTACGGCGAATGTGGCCTGGGTATTAGCGTCCATTCACATAGTATACGAGCCATTGAGCTACAAATATATTATAGCATAACCATAGGTCGAAGCATGCATTGTACTGACTCGGGCAGTTGTTGTCGTTGGCTCACGAACTTTGGTTGGCTGCAAGAGCCACCTAGCGGTATTCGGGTGAAGCGCAATGTGTGAGTCGTTCATTTCGTCACGTAAAAGTTAACCTTCAAACTAGCTGGGCAACATTTGGACTTTGACCGGTACAACAACAAAAAAAAGATTTTCAGAGATGGCGTCCTTTATACGTCTCGCCAAGACATCAGCCCTCGCACGATATACTTTGGTAACGAGAACTAATTGTGGAAGGTAATTATATTGTGTAATTAACCTTTTTCTCGTGTGTGTGTGCGTGTGTGTGTGTGTGTGTATGTGTGTGTGTGTGTGTGTGTGTGTGTGTGTGTGTGTGTGTGCGTATGTGTGTGTGTGTGTGTGTGTGTGTGTGTGTGTGTGTGTGTGTGTCTGTGTGTGTGTGTGTGTGTTTATGTGTGTATGTGTGTCTGTGTGTCTGTGATTAGCTCTTCAATGATCTAAACTGGTTCGAGATCACTTGTTTTTACTGATAGGTGTGTGGGAAGCCAGGCTGCCGCCCTGACGGGTCGGTGTGCCCTGGTGACAGGGTCCACCAGCGGGATCGGGCTGGGGATAGCACGGGCTCTGGCAAACAGCGGATGTGACGTCGTCTACACCGGGTTTGCAGACGATAAGCTATTAACAAAGCTCCAGGACGACTTCCGGTTTGTTTGTTTGTTTGTTTGCTTATCTGTCAAAAGACCGATCCTGTTTTTTTAATAAGCAATTCAACCAACGATAACATGTTAACTAGTGGTTCGACCAATGAGAGAGTGGATGCGTATTAATTAAATATTTGCATTTTTATGCTTTTATATGTGATTTTTTTTAATACGTGGGGTCATGACATCGGTTTACTGTTTTTTAACGCTCGCTCTCTCGCTCTCTCTCTCTCTCTCTCTCTCTCTCTCTCTCTCTCTCTCTACCTCTCTCTCTTTCCGGTTTGTCTTTTCTTTATATCTCTCTTTTCTTTATATATCTTTATTTATCTATCTTTTCTTTATATCTTATAGTGTCACATTTAGAAAAAAAGGCAAGACATTTGCATATTCTTGCTTCAACAGAAGTTACACCGGGATAAAGGCCACCTACATCCCAGCGGATCTGACCAGTACTGCAGATGTAGAGAGACTGTGTGCTGAGGCAAGGGGACATTGCACAGATGGAGTGGACATCATAGTTAATAATGCAGGTGGGGGCAGTATAGTTTTTCTGGGTACGAAAATATTGTGTTAGGTGTCTCATTCGTCGATTTGTTACTTGGTGGGTAGGAGGTCGTAATTTTTACAGTTGATTACACCTCAAGCTGACCCTGCATACGCATTTTGTGGGATTTAGTGGGCGATATGTGGAGATATTAGGGAAATGGTACAATACCCTTATCAATATTATCATATTATCATATATCAGTGGGGTCGTGTGGCGTAGCGGCAGAGTGCGCGACTCGGAACTTAGGGTCTCGGGTTCGAGTCCTGACATGCCACCGATCTTGTGCCCTTGGGAAAGGCACTTTACACGGCTTTCCTCACTTAGCTCAGGTGTAAATGAGTATTGTCCTGTCATGTATTTGTCCCCTGTGTTGGTGTCGGCATTAATATAAGTTGAAAAAACTTGAGTGTGCCGTCATCACGTCTGGTGATTACATGTTGGAATAGAAAAATGTAAAAAATATATATATATTATCATACAGCCACGACGCGGTCCCAATACATTCACCAAAAAAAGAACACTTCTGGAAGGCCTGTGAACTTAGTAGGTCGCGAAAACCTAAATAATTTCCAAATAAATTCATAATATCCGATTTATCATTCTCTGGTGATGGTACAAAACGTAGTTTCTTGACTGTTCTAAATCTGCTTGAATTATCTCAGGGTTGATCGAGTTGACCGAGTTGACCGAGTTGACCGAGTTGACCGAGTTGACCGAGTTGACCGAGTTGACCAGGGTAGTGGACCGAGTGGACCGAGTGGACCGAGTTGACCGAGTTGACCGAGTTGACCAGGGTAGTGGACCGAGTGGACCGAGTTGACCGAGTTGACCGAGTTGACCAGGGTAGTGGACCGAGTTGACCGAGTTGACCGAGTTGACCGAGTTGACCGAGTTGACCAAGTTGACCGAGTTGACCAGGGTAGTAGACCGAGTTGACCGAGTTGACCAGGGTAGTGGATCGAGTTGACCAGGGTAGTGGACCGAGTTGACCGAGTTGACCAGGGTAAGTTGACCGAGTTGACCGAGTTGACCGAGTTGACCAGGGTAGTGGACCGAGTTGACCGAGTTGATCGAGTTGATCGAGTTGGACCGAGTTGACCGAGTTGACCGAGTTGACCGAGTTGACCGAGTTGACCGAGTTGATCGAGTTGA